AAAAAAAAATTGGGTCTTGGAAACCTTTGTTCTGATCTAGAAATTTTCTGTGTTTTCAAAGACATCTGAGTCTAAAACATATATTAAGTCTAAGTCAAAGATATAAAAAAAGAGCTTGGCATCTTGGCAAGTCAAAGATTTAACCAGTGATCTAGCCTGCAGAAACAGCCGTCCTTCATCGCTCTCTGCCCCAAGTGACATTTCGCTGTCTGTGATTTACCACTGAAAATGTAAATTGCAGACTTCCTTCTCGCGAAACGCCACTTGGGGTGGGGCATAAAGTAGCCTACAGTGCAGGCATCTTATAGGGGCGAGTTAGCGTTACAACCTTGCGACCGCCATATTACCCTATCCTTCCTCCTGCCTATCATTCACCCCCTTGGTAAAACCTTCTTGCTCTCTCCAGTCTTCCACTGCATGAAAAATTCAAGATGGCGGCTAAACTTTTTGCGATGTGAGCGCTTGCTTGAAAAAATCTCATCTGCTCTGCAGGCTAGGCATAAAGAAGGATGGCTGTTTTTGCAGGCTACCAGTGATCACCCTCACACTGCCTGTGCTTGTTTAGCCTTTATGCAACCACAATGAAGAACAGGGGTTGTTATAAGTGGTTTGTTAAAACTGCTCCACTCCAGACAGAGAAAACTGGGTTTAATCCTGGCCAGGTTCCTCAGCTGTGTTCTTGTAACCAAGATTTCCTTACTGAAGGACACACCCAGTAAAACAACAAAATTGACAGTGCTGTTTCAAAATTGCTTCAGATGTAAGAGATCCTAACAAAACCAACTCAGTTGAAAACAGTGTTGTTGTGATGTGTATGTAGTCATGTGGGCAAAAAACAAAACGAAAAAAACAAAAACAAAAATTAGGCCATCTCAATAACAATCTCCATTTATGAGATTTGCAGCTCTTTAATTTACACCCTTTGTCAGAAATACATTAGCATGTGAATTAAAATAAAGGTTACATTTGTTGAATTTTAAAGTTTATCGCGTATTGTTCACTGAGTCAATTTATTTACAAGACAAAAAGAAACGGTTAATTTGTTAACCCATCCAAGTTTCAAGGTCATAAAACACTCCTTGATGAGATCTGTTGTTTACTTTAGCAAATCTCGAGTTAATTTTCTTGAAAGCAAATTACTGCGCTAAACTCTTCATTGTTTACATGTAGTGACTGACCCCCGATATTTTAGAATTTTCAAGCAAGGGATTAAAATATGCCTACCCGTTGAATAATTTCCTTGTTTCCTTTACTCGCTGCCAAATGCAATCCATTATCGCCGCCATCGTTCAAAGCAGTTATTCTTGCTCCCCTAGACAAAAGTAAATCGAACACAGCCGTCTGGCCTTCTCTTGCCGACCAAAGCAACGGGGTGAAGCCATGGTCGTCACTGTAATAAATCATAATAAAGACGATCGATTTGACACCAGAAGGGTAAAAGAAACACAGTTTCAGCAGAATGCAACTTCAAAAGCGAATAATCCATATTGTTGAACTTTCTTAAAAAAAAAAATAAACAGCTGTAGAACAATACAGTACAATACTACAGCTCAATATGCTGGAAAACTTGCGTGAAGCCAACAAGCTGATTACATTGAGTTCTCATCATAAAATCTAGCTGAATGGCGAATGAATAACGACTATTTCTAAAGTTCAAAATCTTTGCTTCTAGTCATTCCTTGTAGTTCTTTACTAAAACAGAAGTGACAGTGTTTTCAATGTTATAATCTGCTCACCCTTGATTTAGGTCGTTCGAAGTGTTTTCTAGCCATGTCTTGACAAATCGAAAATTGCCTTCCCGCGAGGCCGAAAATATATCTTCCATCGCACGGAAATCGCTCCGATGTGTACAAATTTAACAGCTTAACTTGCTAACAGAACGGAAGCACTCGGCAATACGCATGATTAATGCACAAGAGCTTAATCAAAGGCGAGAAGTTTCTTTGGGCGGTGAGACGTAATCACTTCAGGAATGACAAATATTGTACGTTTTGGCGGGAAGCCGCTGAGCAGACAATTGTTGTTAGTGGGGTGTGGAGCATCGAGGGAGGGGTGTGTGGATTTTGCTTCCTGTTCCTTCACGCCCCCTTTTCTCTCGGATTCCTTTTCCTTCCAACTGCCAGACCAGGATCATCCGCATTTTACACTGGTTAATACAAGACCAGACAACCACTTAGCCTGTGAACGCAGATGTATTTCCGGCTGTCACATGGTTCCAGCAGAACCAAGTGACAGCCGGAAATACATCTGCGCTCTCAGGCTAACGATCACCTGGGTTAATACACTACCTGCTCTATGTCTATCAACTTCTAGCAGCCCTCTTTCTGTTATAAAAATTCAAAGAAAAACAAAAGAAAAGAAAAATTGAAAACTGATAAGGTGAAGTGACAGGCTACTGATAAGGTACAAAAATGTCAGCGTCATCTTTTCAAAAATCGCAAATGTTTTGGGCATAGCCCTTCTTCAGTGTCAAAATATGAATTTAAAAAAATGTAAAATAAAACAAAATAAAACATTTCATAAATAATATGAATTTTTATATTCAGGATCGAGGGAGAACAATTTATTTAAAAAAATTTAATTTTTGTACATCCTAAACGTTTTTCTTTTCATTTAGTCCATTGAGCATGGTGTGGTAGAACACACAAGGGGGAAATGGCCCCGCTATATCAGAGGGTAAGAAGGCAAGTCAAAAGAAAACCAGTAAGTTACAATATTATAACTCATATGCTAAGCCTGAGACCTCACATTTTAAGGGGTTTTGATTTTCTCTGCAGCTACTATAATTTTTTTGATTTAATATGAACAGAATGCCTCCAACAAAAACCAAAATCAAAGTCAACACTTTGTTGTTTCATTTAATTTGCCTGAATTAAATATCTCTTAAATTTTCAACTTAAAGCCTCTAATTTCTAAACAAATACTGATTGTTCTCAATCCCTGTGCAGTAAACACTTTTTTAGTAACTTCATCAATTTAATTCAATTCAATTCTTTATTTACACTATATACTATATATTTATATGCATCAGTTCTGAGTTGTTTCTAGTTATTTTCTAATGAATTATCATAATTTATAAAAAAAGCTAATAGTAGTACTGGGAAATGATATGCTTCATTTTTGCCAGACCAGCACATCATTTCACTCTGAACTTATGACATAATTCACTTGTTTTTTTATTGCTTTCTTAGATAATTGATTTTAAGTTTTATGTCTATCTATAATAACAGACACAAGCCTATGACAATCTCAGCCTTTGTGGCTTATACTTATCACACAATCTTTAACGAAGGTGCTATTGGAGTGCTAGATGAATGTGAAAATGTTTTAAGGAGTACATCAGCTGCCATGCCGGGAGTCACATCTCCATCAGCGACTAACTTCTCATAATGAATAATTTCTCTCTGCACATCAGGATTTGACTTAAATCTTCCCATAATTTGCTCTTTAATGTGATTCCACATCCAGATCACATGCTGTTTACAACGTCTTTGTTCAAGTTCTCCATTTTCCAGCATGATGTGGTAAAATTGTTCCATGTTTTCCCAAGCTTTCTCAATTCCTTCACCAGTTTGAGAGGAAACACGCAGAACCTAAAGGGACAGTAGTAACCAAGAAGTGATCAGAAAAAAGTTATGAAGACCAAGAGGAGGTTGCAAAGCCTGCATGCAGACATCTAGTATTGCCTTCATGTTTCACGAGTCAAAGAAACAAAGGCTATAGCAGAGGTCTTCACACAGGCGAGAGACCCAGGGTAAGAGAACTGCATAGGATGAGGAATAACGCAAAAAAATAGTTGTGCAAGGAGAATCATACCGAAGGATTCCACTGAGGTGATTTTTTCCTTAACAATTTCAAAGCACTGATGTATTCTGTCTGAATTCTTTGTGCCGGAATGATAAGTTCTCCATCAGCTTTATTAACTAGTACAAGATCAGCCATCTCCACAATGCCTTTCTTGATTCCTTGCAACTCGTCACCACCGGCTGGTGGAATTAACAACACAAACATGTCAACCATGTGTGCAACAGCAATCTCTGACTGACCAACACCAACTGTTTCCACTAAAACAGTGTCATAACCAGCAGCTTCACAGAGGAGAATGGCTTCATTTGTACTGCGGTTTACACCACCTAAACAGAACAAGATAATATTTTACTGTTTGTGGCAATTTAGAATCAGTGTTGGAAGTCTCTGTGTAGTCAATTTTTTCCTCATGGACAGTTCTTTAATAAAGCACCTCCATGTTACAGTAAGTTTATCTGGTCCCATAGAGACAAGAATTCATAATTACCTCTTCTCTAAATAGACACCTGGATCATATGGATACTCTGATCTCACCCTTTAGTTTAGGTAATAAAGAGGTTTGACTGTAAAATTATGATCCAACCTAGCACTGTTTCCTACACAAGGAGAACTGGCAACGATGATGATGATGAAATAAATAATGCTTTTCAGTTACAACAGGTCTTGAAAATTTAAAAATAATAATTTAACAATAATGTTATTACCCAGAGTTCCAGAAGAGGGTGAGGGTCTGATGTATGCATTAGGATTTCGTGACAGTTCAGTCATGCGAGTCTTGTCACCCAGTAGGGATCCTCCTGTTGTGGAAGATGACGGGTCTACAGCCAACACAGCAACTTGATGCTTCCTATTGGTCAGAAAAGTCCCAAATGTCTCAATAAATGTAGATTTACCCCCTCCAGGAGGTCCTGATAAACCAATTCTAAAAGAACAATGTCGGCCATTTGAGAATGGTGGAGCATGTTTTGAGTACTTCACCACTCTCGCGAGCAGTTTTTGGGCGTGATGGTATTTACTTGGATGAAGTGTTTCCACCAATGTAATTGCTTGGGCTAAACTACCACGGTCCCCTCGAATTATTCCCTGAAATAAACGCTGAATTAGGTGACTTTCACTCGAAGATTTGCCTTCAGAACTTGTAGCAAGGTTTCTCTTGGCCCCTAGTGGGCGAAGGCTCGTTGAAATGCGAGTAGAACCACTTAAAACGAAACGCCAACACATTTCAGACTTTTTACGATTCCGCCATTTTGGATCTCTTGGTGCTAAAAATAGCTTGGACAGACGGGGAAGGCTTGGAGGGAGTCACGCCTAGTCACGCAATCTTTCGTCATTACGTGCGAGCCTGCGTGGGAGGGTGAACATCCTGCGATCCTTCACGTAGGTGACAATAAAATGTTTTGCAGTGGGATATAAAAGTCTGTGTTAAACAAAGAAGCAGATGCAAACATGATTTGAAGTGCCTACAGCATGAGTGAACGTCAGGAAATTTTTTCAAAAAAATTTTGCCAGTGAAAATGGAGCAAGACGGGGACGCGATTATCTTCACCTGCAACGACCATCTTATAAAAGCTCTCAAGAGAATGGACGGCTTTCGGAAGAATTCTAAACTTTGTGACATTGTTTTAGTGGTTGGGGAGAAAAGGATAAAGGCTCATCGCCTTGTTCTTGCTGCTTTTAGCGATTACTTTAGCGCTATGTTCACTGGCGACCTGGCCGAAAATCGCCAAGATGTCGTTCATTTGAGCGATATGGACCCGCAAGCAGTTGAAGCCCTCATCCAATATGCCTACACTTCTCACATTGAAATTCGAGTGGATAATGTCGAAGGACTTCTCTCTGTGTCTTGCATTTTACAGATTGATGAAGTGAAAGAAGCTTGCTCGGAATTTATGAAGCATCAGCTACATCCATCAAACTGTTTGGGCATTCGTGCCTTTGCTGATGGCCACAATTGTACCGAACTTTTCAAAATTGCTGACGCTTTCACAAAAGAACGCTTTGTTGAAGTTGTCAAAAATCAAGAATTCCTGCTTTTGAATGCCGAATGTGTAGCACAGCTTCTTTCTAGTGATGATCTAAATGTTAACTCGGAATCTCAAATTTTTGATGCTCTATGTGCCTGGGCAGAACACGATGAAGAAAATAGAAGAAAGGTTTTGCCGAGATTGCTTGGACTAGTTCGGTTGCCGCTGCTCGCGCCAGAATTTCTTGTTGATAAAGTCGAGATGTCATCTCTTTTTCGTGATATGCCCTGCAGGGAGCTTATTATAGAGGCCATGAAATACCAACTCCTCCCCAAACGGCGCTTTCAATTTCAAAACTCAAGGACAACTCCGAGAAAATCGACAGTGGGAAAACTTTACGTAGTTGGTGGTAAGTGGAAAGCATGACTAAATACGCTTAAAATAAAGAATAGGCTTTCTCCATCTTTTTTTTTTTTACTCCTTTGTCCTCTAAAATGTCAAATCAAAATTGAAATGTTGGTGTTAAGTGCTACATGACGTAAATTGCATTTAGTTTACATGTTAAAGGTCAACTCGTGTTTTGTGGTAAGCTTTGAAAGCTTACATCTTTATTATAAGCAAGCGTAGCCGTTGCATATAAAACTCGTGTTTCAAATTTAGAACAATAACATATTCAGACCACAATCTTGTCAGGTTGATAGATAGCGTTTTCTGGTCAAAATATTAAAAGGCCTGTTGTTTTGCTGTGGAGTGTATAAAAAAGCGCTTCAAGGGGTTTTAGCTGGGTGTGACTTCAATATTTCCTGATCTCTTCAAACATCAACTGTGTATTAAATTTCCCAACTCTCTGTTCAAAATATTAGTTCGCCTTTCTTTCAATATTCCTTATGACAAATTGGCAACACATCAACAAAGACAACTTCTCTAAGTTCAAGGCTTGTTTATTCTCCTCACCATTTTTGAGGAGAAATTTAATTTTGATCACTCGTGGGTTCTCCCATTCTTCTCTTTGCAAATGTACCAGATATGGAGTAAGATGCTATCAATACATAAGTATGTAATAGACAGTTTGCATAAATGCTGCCAATGTAGCGGTATGGCTTTTTATTTTCATTGGTGTTGTCTGTGTTATGAACATGCTGTAAGGAACAAAAGGCTCTTTTCTTCCAAATTTAGGAATGGATTCCTCCAAGGGAGCGATTCAAATTGAGCATTATGACCCTCGCAAAAACCTGTGGTCTGTGGTGTCGCCAATGGTCACCAGAAGGCTGCAATTTGATGTGGCTGTAGTAGATGGCAATTTGTATGTTGTTGGAGGCAGAGATGGACTGAAGACGCTGAATACTGTGGAATGTTACAATCCAAGGACAAAACAGTGGAGTCCTGTGCCATCCATGAGTACCCATCGTCATGGATTGGGTGTGGCAACTTTGAATGGCCCTCTCTATGCTGTCGGTGGCCATGATGGTTGGTCTTACTTGAGTACTGTTGAGAGGTAAGGAGCAATTTTGGGACCTTACCATATAGAGGCAGGTCTTTTGATCTGTATGCCGAAGTAAATCTTGGCTATTTGTCACTGCTAGCATTGATCTCTTAAAGATCCAAACAACTAATAAAAGTGCACAACGAGACACCAGCAGGTGACTAACTATCACATATTTTATTGCATGTCAAGGAAGCCCCTAGTTGTTACTGTCTTAAACAGAAACTGAAGCAGTGATACATTTTCATTTTCCAACTTTTTTTATTTATGCTAGCTGCACATTTCAATATGCACTCTATTATTTGGAATTTGTGCTAAGTTTGTGGGTATACTTAAGTATACAGCGTAAGAGTAAAATTAATTTGTAAAATAATCATTTTGTAGAAAATCAATTTTATGATGAACAAATTTTACCCATTTCCCGTGTTCATAGAATGGAACCCTGCTTTACGGCCACCCCATTATTACGGCCACTTTATTTTGGCCCAAACAAAAGCTCAGTTAGTCCTTTTCTTATTTAAAGAACCCCTTTAACATGGCCACCCCATTAATACGGCCAGATTTTTGTGGCCTGTTGGTGACCGGATTAACAGGGTTCCACTGTACTAACATTTTGAATCTTATGATGTCAAATGGTTGTCTTGTAGATTTGATCCAGATACCAAGCAGTGGAGTTTTATTGCAGCCATGACGACGGCAAGAAGCACTGTTGGAGTCGCTGTTCTTAATGGCAGACTGTATGCAGTTGGAGGTAGAGATGGTGCTGCATGCCTTAACTCAGTGGAGTGCTATGACCCTCACACTAACAAGTGGTCAATAAGATGCCCAATGCTGAAGAGGAGAGGAGGTAACATTTTAGAAGAATTTTTATGTCCTGGAAGTGCCTGTTAGAGTGAATTTTACATGATCTAAAGCTGCTTTCAATATTGATATTGGTGTAGATTAGATTGTTTAGTTTTACTGAAAACTGTAAATTAAGTAGTAAGGTTTCAAGTTGTACTGTGATATTTTTATACCTTAATTTTTTTGGTATTCAAGCCATGTTTGTATTAAAATACCCATGGCAAGACCAATTAAGCCATATATGCTGCCTAAGCGACCAAAAAAGGTATGGTAGGGTATTTACTGTATCCAAATTCAGTCAAGTGACCATATCAGGGTTGTAGTTAAGAAAATAGTCTCCTGGCTAAGATTTTCATTGAGCCGGTCACCATTTTTCATGAGAGACCTGGAACAAAATTTTTGTGCCCAATCTTTTGCAACGCCTTGAATGCGGGGCTACCAAGCTTCATGTTTACAAGATGGTGGATGCAGTACACGGAAGGAGAACACACCAAACAAGTGCTTAAAACAAGGTTTTTTTCAAGTACTTTACTCGTTATAGTGGCACCGATAGTCAGGAATTTATTCCAAACTTTTCGTTTAAACGATTCGCTGGCAACCAGTGCTTAGCAACAACCCTGCCATATGATGATATCCTAGCCATATCAGGTCACTCATTGACCTGATATCAGGATAGGATATCAGGCCCCAGTTGTTCGCAGACTAGATAATGCTGCACTGGATAAATCGCTATCCAGTGAATAAATGTTAACAAAGCAAACCATGCTATCCGCTGGCTACTGATT